CAGCTATTCCTGGGGGGGTATTTTGTGGCGTCATTGCTAGCAAAATGATTGCCAAGCTTTTAGGTTTGTTCCCCGATTCTCCTCTTCTCCTCAGTGGTACAACAGGTAGAGAAGAGGATATGCAAATCACCCCAGGAAAGCTCGAATTGTAGGGACATGTCCCTGAACCCCTCAGTAAACTTAGTGGGATCTTCCGAGTATCGACCCAGTCTTTCTTTAACCTGATTGAGATCTGAAATGGAGAATGGAACATGCATCCTAATTGTTCCATTAGTAGAGACAGATACTTTCTTTAAAGGAAAAAGCCCTGAAAGCACTGTGGGAACAGGGGCTTTCAGGGTAGGAAGATAGGAAATCTCACTTCTTGTGAGCTAGGGATTAGGGAGTACCAGCTGAACTAGACTGGACTGCAAGGCTGGGGAATGGGCTGGCAAGGGAAAAGATTAGCTGGCACTGGAGGAGGTGGAGGGACTGGGGAGACTGGGGCCAAGGCCAGGGCCTGGGTGGTCCTTGCCTCAGAGGGAAGGGCTAGGGGAGGAAGTGCCGGCAAGACCCTTGTCCAAAGCCTGAGTAAGGGTCTCCTCAGGGGTAGGGGCCTGGGGAGTAGGCACTGGGGTGAGGCCCTTGCTCAAGGCCTGAGTTGAAGTTGCCTCCAGAGCAGGGGCCTGGGGAGGAAATGTAGAATAGGAGACATGGAAGGGGAACAAGGCAGAACCTGAAAGAGGGTGGGCCAGAGGAGAAGGGAAGGGAAACCAAGAGAAAGAGGGGGAGGGCAAGGAGGAGGTATGGGAAGCAAGGAGGGGCAGGGGAGAATGGAGAGCTGTAGGAGGAGCAGAAGGAAGGGTTGGGGAGAACAGGGAGCAGTAGGAAGGGTTAGGGAGGAACAGGGAGCAGAAGGAAGGGCTGGGGAGAATGGAGAGCAGAAGGAAGGGTTGGGGGGAGAACAGGGAGCAGTAGGAAGGGTTAGGGAGGAACAGGGAGCAGAAGGAAGGGCTGGGGAGAATGGACAGCAGGAGGAAGTGTTAGAAATAAGGCCTTAGAGAAATAAAGCCTTCTAGTTAAAAACAAAACTAAGCTCGGAGTGAGTGAAGAATCATTTATTTTACGGTTCTTGGGAGAACCAGGCAGAACCTCTTGGAAGAGATCTTGCCAATTACAGAAGCGAGAAAATGTTTTATACTGTTAAAATGCCACGACTCCTCCATTCTTTTACGGGTTGTAATCTTACAAATCTACCCATCTCATGTGCCCTTGACATGCCCCCTCCATCCCTCATTGTCCAAAAGCCTGTGCCCTTTGTCCTACTTAGGGCTAGTTAAAACCGGCTCTGCCCTCTAGAACTTTGGGGCCCTTCTCATTGGCTTGCCCTTTCAAGGTTTTGCAAGCTTGTTAAAACAATGTAACTGGCTATTACCAAATTCTTTGCTAATGTTATAAGATGTCAAAGGTTATCTTAAATTGTGGGAGCATGATACCTTGTCCCTTACAATCCCACCTCTTTTTCTTTACAAAAATCATGCTCCCACACTCTTTTGCTCTCTTTCAAACTTCTTTAACATGAGCTATTTCATTCTTTTCCATCATAAACCTTACATTCTCTGGCCCCATGACGTGTAAATTGGTATACTCTTCAGGTGGGAATCCCTTAGTCAATGTGATTTCTATCAATCTTTGAACTAATCCTCTTATACAGGGGACTATGCAACATCCCACAGTAGTGGTAATTGCTATATCCACAATTAGGGAAGTTATCAGAGACCTTGCTACCCCTTTCCACTTTCCAAACCACCTCTCCAGCCAATTAGTGATGGAGTTCCCCACCCCTATGTTTTGGGCCAACTCTTGGGATCAGACTCTACCTTCCTTGATCAGCAGTGGTTAAACTTTGCAATGCCTTAGTGATGGTTCTACCTGGGGCTGTGCTACTGGGCAACATTGCATCAAAGGATTTTGGGGACTTAACACAATATGGGAGAAGGAAGGGAGAAACTGACCGACACATTGACAAATTAAAAAGGGGGCAGTCCCCTTATTAAGTACAGATACAGAGACCCAAAAGTAACGACAAATTGTCCATTTAAAGCTTCAGAAGTCTCTTCTCATACATCTTTCCAACACTCTGGACATCATCTGGCAAAGTCCTCTGGTCTAAGTGCCATTCAAACAGTGTCCATCAGACTCTCTTCTTGTAGACATCCTCCTTCTTGTATCCACTCTCCTACAAGATTGATCTCAAAACAATTTTTAAATTACCTTGCCAATAACCAGGGCAAATAATGAAAGTTAACTCAATCCCCCATGTCTCCACTATTACAAGGTCAAAATTGGAATTTTGGCTAATTGCCATATTTTAAGAAACTCAAGTTAGAAAAATTAGAACCTAGCCTTACACTCTGAATTACTTCTAGTTTTATACCTTGCATTAATTTATTATTCATTCCTATTCATATTCCCCCATCAGGAAAATGAGATTCCACTAAGGAATTAATAACAGACTCCAATACCTAGTAGTTAATTTAAAACCAGTACATATCAAATACTAAAACAATCTCAACTTCGAATCATGTACAAATCAATAATCCTTAATTAAAATGGCTGCTTCTTTCCAGGCATTTACAAATCAAGTCACAAGCTATTCTTCTTTTAACATTAATTTGTAACAAACTGAGAAAACTTTAACATTAACTAAGTATTAACTAATTTCCTGATCTAATTATCCCCTAATGATGGGGTATGGGCCCAAGCCAAGACCTTTGCCCCTTGCCCCAGAAAGAATCTGGCTCCCATTTGTCTATGGGCCCCAGAAAACCCTTATACTTCACTCAACTGGCCTATATGGTTTATCTCCAACAAACGTCATCCCCTAGGTTGAAAGACCTAGGCTGAACTCCTTCAGGCCAGACCCTCGTGTTGATACCTTGGAGTCTCAGCACCCCCAAACCTCTAGACCTCATCATAACCATTATGAGAAATTAAAGGATCCTGACTCATACAGGTTTATACTAGTAACAAATGTCAAGACTGAATACTTAATTTTGAAATTCTAGGCCAAATAATTCAATCTTATATTTGCATCTTACTATAATATCCTCAGATGTTCCCGCACCAATCTATTGTTTAATAGATCTGATATTTATGCTTACAAAACTTATGATTATAGGAATTTGCTATGAAAGAATAAGAACATAACTAAAGAAAGGGAACAATGCTTTCCTAGATTCATGTCAATTCCAGGCAGAAGTTATATAATGACCAACTGCATTGAGCCAGGCTTTAAGTCTGCCAGGTGTCATAGTGGGGAAATTGAGTCAGGAGAATCCTACCTCAGCCATGCAGAAAAGTCATTCTCCTGACCTTCCCATGAGAACACCCTGTTGCAGCTCATGCAGGCATGAGGAAGTCTCAGCCCCTAAATGGTGGCCAGGATGCATCTTATATATAGCCAAGTAGCTTGGGGTGAACAGAGGAGGGTCTCCTGGTTCTGCTCGCTTCACTTTTCATGAGTTTGTGTAAGCCTTAAAGGTTTTTCTGAAATCAGCCTTCCTTGTCATTTCTTATAGCACAATAGTATTCCATTACTATCATTTGTTCATCCCTTCCCTAATTGATGGGCATCCCTTCAATTTCCAATTCTTTGCTACCATAAAAACAGCAGCTATAAATATTTTTGTAGAAATAGGTCATTTTACCTTTTTTTTTTATCTCTTTGGGATAGAGATCCAGTAGTGGTCTTGCTGGATCAAAAGGTAAACCACAGTTTGACAACCATTTGGGCATAGTCCAAAAAGGCTCTCCAGAATGATTGGATCAACTCACAACTCCACCAACAGGGTATTAGTGTCCCAATTTTCCCAATTACCTGCAACATTTCTTGTTTTCCTTTTCTGTCATATTAGTAAATCTGATAAGTGTGAGATGGTACCTCAGAGTTGTTTTGATTTGCATTTCTAGAAGCAATAGTTATTTACAGCATTTTTTCATATAACTATAGATAGCTTTGATTTCTTCATCTGAAAACCACCTGTTCATATCCTTTGACTATCAGTTGGGGAATGTTTTGTATCCTTATAAATTGGACTCAGTTCTCTGTATATTGGAGAAATTAAGTCTTTGTTTTAGGTGTTTTTTTAATGGGAGAGAAATAAAGTCTTTATTAAAGACACTGTAAAAATTATTTCCCAGCTTAGTTGAATGGTCTCAATGGATAATTTAAGCTGTGCTAATATCTCTCTCTAGGTTTAAAGCAGTCAAGAGAGCCAAAAAACTTGTGGCCATCAGTCAAGGCAACATCTGTCTAAACAGTACTGATAAAAGACTGACAAATCTGTACTCTTGGATACAATTTGGTAGCACCCTGAAGGAGATAGCAGTCAATGGTGGGATATAAAAATATACATGAATCGAAAGATGGGTTAAATTTTCATAGGCAGAGACATGGAGGAGAGTATTCTGGGCAGACTAACACGGGGTTGAAAGCTGGAAGGGATTAGAGATCACCTAGTCAGACTCTCATCTTATGGAAGAGGCAGCTGGGCCTTACAGAGGGGAAATGACGTCAAACATCAAGCATCTATAGCAGAAAGCAAAGGTGGGATTTGAACCCTGGTCTTTTGATTCCAAGTCCATGCATAAGCAGAACTCTGCCTATGCAACATATGGGAGAAGAAGGTGAGTAAGAAAGGGCGGGACCTGGCTGTTAGGGAGCTTGACTGGTGGGTTAAGGAATTTGGACCTTATCCTATAGGCAACAGGAGAAGCAGGATATCTTTGAGCTATGGAGTGATGGTGTCACAGAGTTCCTTTAGGGAGATGAATCTAGTAGCCTATATCATTGGGATTGGTGAGATCAGGAGGCTGGGCAGGAGAGTATTGCAACAGTCCAAATGAGAAGTGATGCCCCACACATCCAGGATTGTGAGAGTGGGTATGGAAAGAACTGGACAGATGTGAGAGAGATTGAAGAGGAAGAACTTAGTTACTGACTGGCTATGAGGAAAAGAGAGAAGGAGGCTGTAGTTAAAAATTGCTCCACACTCAGAGTCTGAGTGCCTGGGAGGATGGTGGTGCAAATAAAATGTAGAGGTGCAAGTTAGGAAAGGTCCCAGCCTTGGGAAAATAAAAATGGTTTTGGTCTAGGATGTATATAGTTGGGACATCAAGATGCAGCTAGCCAAAGGTAATCACACATTCTGTACTGGAAGTTCACCAAGAGCTTGATCTGGAATGTAGTGATGGAATGATCTGAATAGAGGTTCTAACTGTACTCTAGGAGGGAAAGAGATTACCAAGGGAGAGAGTGAAGAGAAAGAATAGAAGGCCAGGGATAGAACCTTGGGAGCTCAGGGGCAGGAAAAAGAGAAGAGGCATGCAGAAGAGACAGAGAAAGAGCAGTCAGATAGAGGAAGAGAGCAGGGTCACAGAATCCAAGATGTCCCACCATGTCTGTTCACTCCTAGAATCTTAGCCTGAAAGGGAACTCAGAGGCCATCAAGTCTGACTTGTACTTGAGCAAGAATACCCTGGACAATATCCCTGAAAAAGAGTTGTCTAATCTTTGAATGCTAATGTTCAGTGGCACTGGCTCACCCACCTACCCCCACTGTGAACAATACCATGGGACAGCCCTAAATGTTTGGAGGTTTCTCCCCCTGTTATTCAAGTGAAACCAATCTCTCTGCAACCTCTACCCGTAAGCAGAAGAGGAGTCAGTCAAGGAGATTAAAGAAGAGTCAGAGAGGAAGCCAGGTAGAAGAGAGTCTTCAGGAGGAAGGGATAGCCAAGAGTGTCCAAAGATACAGAGAAGTGAAACATGTCTGAGAAGAGACAATAGGATGTGTTGATTGGGAAGGGCATCAGAGAGCAATTTAGTAGGGTGGTGAGGCCAAGATCCGTGTTATAGGGGATGAGATTCTGGGGAATTGGTGTTTAGTTAGAAATGGGAAAGAGTGCCCTTCCCCCACTGCATCCTTGGGCTTGTGCAAAAGATTTCAGAATCAAATTAGATGCGTATCCGATATCGGAACTGGACATCATGTATTGGCTGTACGGTACCAAGTCCCAGGCGCTTCACATTTACTGAAGGGATCTTCACCTCCTGATCAACTAACTCTATGTCATATTGTGTGACCATCAAGAACACAAACATCTTTATCTCATTGAGGGCAAAGAACCTCCCAGGACAGATGAAGGGGCCGGCACCCCATGGCAACATGTGTGGCTTGATCCTTCTCCCTTGCTTGTAGAAAGTTACCTTTTTGCTGCCATCAGGGTTCAGGAAACGGTCATATTTGAATGTAGTGGGGTCTGGGTAGATTTCTGGATCCATATGGAGGAAAGAGTAGGGGAAGATGGAAACTGCATCTCCTTGGCGGATGGCATACTCCCTGCCATCATCCATTTTCAGGACCGTGTCCTCCACGACAAACCTGGTCAGGGAAGCGGCAGCCACCATGCGTAATGTCTCCTCAATGACACTGTCCAGCACTGGGATCTGCTGCAGCATGCTATACTCAACAGTGATGGGCACCCCACCTGGTCTTATCTCTTGCCCCATTTGCCTGAGGACTCTTTCAGCCTCCTCCCTCACAGCCTTCAGAGCCTTGGGATCCTTCAGGAGGAAAAGAAGGGTCCAGAAGGGCACTACAATTGAGTTGGCCTGGGATGACCAGAGTGCTACCAGGTTAAACTTGCTCTGTTCTGTCTCAGGCATTCCAAAATCAGCCAGCAGCTGCTGACTGGAACGGATCCATTCACTCACATTATCCTTCTCCAGGATTTGCTTTGCAGAGAGAATATCCCAGAAGTAATGTTTTAGCCTCCTCATTTCTTGCTTCTCCTTGGGCAGGAGCACAGAAGTAATCACCTTTGGAAAAAGAGTGTCAAATTTCCTGAATTCTTCAAAGACTTTCTGGGATTGGAGCAGGTCCTGAGCAGGGTTCACTTTGCCATTAGTAGGTAAGTTTCCAAACATTGCCAGGTAACCAGCTCTAAAGACAACGTTGCAGCAGTATTGAAATAGCCCATCCTGCTTCCACTCCTGGGGTCCTGGTCTCAGACCAACATCAGGTTCTAGCATCAGGGTCTGCAGGTCATCCATCATGGCCTGGGTCATCCCAACTAAACCATCACTCATCAAGTGCTTTGAAGTGTTATTCCTGATCATATTTTTCTGACCTTGCGGTTTTCGGTACTCAAAGGCTTTGAATACCAGGTTATTTGCAAAGTCAAAAGAGTCCAGCTTGCTTCTGCTCTCTTTCAGGATGGCGTCAAAAGAGAAGGGGTCTGTGACAAATGTGATGTACCGGCCACCAAGCTGGACAGTGAAGATGTCCCCATGACGTTCTTGCATCCTCTTCAGGAACTTGGAGACATCCTTACAGAAGTCCCTGGCATGGCCCAGCCAGGGAATAAGGCCTTTGTCCAGAGGGGGCTCTCTGGGTCTCCTCTGGCGCAAGGCCCCCAGCCTGTACAGCACTACCAAGACAGTGGTCACCAGGACTATAAACACAGGAGCCCAGAATGCCATCACCACCCCACAAGGAATCTGTGTTCCCAGGCCACTCAGAGAAGAATGAAATGCTTCTTGAGGATGAGAGACTTTTATAAGCAGAGGAAAGGCCCTTGCCTGTACCTTGTCCTGTCCCCAACAGGGTACAGGAGGTTAATTATTACTTGCTGCCTGTACCTTGTCCTGTCCCTAAAAGGGTCCAGGAGATTAATTATTACTTGTTGCAGGTACCTTGTCCTGTCCCTAACAGGGTACAGGAGGTTAATTATTACACGGAACTAGGCCAGAAAGCAACTGTTGTTCTGAACATTCTGTTTTTAGAAGACTGAGGACAACAAAGGGAGAACAGCCAGAAAATATTTAGCGAGGGGATGACACAGACCACACAACTAATAAATGTCTGAGGCTAGATTTGAACTCAGGTCTTATGACTCTAGGCCTAGCATTCTATCCACTGTGCCACTCCAAGGCTACAACTAGAACCGCTTGATCCCTTATCCATAATATTTCCCACACCATTCTTCCATTCTACTCCCTGCCTTTTATTTTACATTTTAGTTCAGTGAACCTCTTGAGTGACATTTCTAGGGTGGAAAAATGAAGAAGATGCTCTTCCTCCAACACCTGTATTGATAAGGCAGCAGGAGGGACTCAAGCAGATAGAAAGGGGGGAGGAGAGGCCAAAGCCTAACAGGCGGCAAAGCTCCTTCCTCTCTCTCAAGATCACTTCTGAGACTGAGGCTCTCACCTTTTCCCCCTCCCTGCTCTTAAGCACCAGAGCATGTCAGTACAGAAGGACTTCAGCACTCAGAGGCCAACACCATCACTGTGCAGAGGGTCCCAATGGGCATTTTGTCTTCATTTCTCTGGACTCCATCAGCCACGACGCTTTGGGGCCCAGAGGGATCCATAGATTGGGAGAGGGTGCTGAATCACAGAGCCTAGAGAGCATGGGTCAGACAACTAGGAGAGTATTGTAAGAGTAACATCCACTAGAATCCTTGACAAGTAGGGTGGACTCAATTTTCCTGACTCCCCACCACACAGGCTGGTCTTGTTTTTCTCCGTGTAACACCATACTTGGCGCTCCCTTCACCAACTCACACTGCCACTGACTGGCCTGCATGCCCACAGGAGTGGCTGTTACTCCTTCCAGGGACCTGGGGAGTCTACTAATGCTGTGCGTGCCTGTCCTTCTTAACACAAGCTCGGGAGCCCCCCCGGATATAATTCTGCTTACCTGGCCAGTAAACTCAGTTCCTTAACAAAGACTTTTAATTCCACAGGTGGCACAGCAAAGATATCAGTTACATTGTGCTCCCCCACCCTTCCAGAGCCCACTCTCCCACAAACATATCCAGAGCTCAGGAGAGGGAAAGAATGGGCACAAACTTAAAATACCATGGCAGTATGGCACACGTGTAGGAGACACATCTGGCCAAGGCAACTGACACTTCTGGTACTGCAGGGCACAGTGTTTCTGCCGAACTAGTGACTCACCTGGGCTTGCACCCCCTAGGAGGCAAGCTGGTCTCCCTAAGCTAGAAGGGCCAATCTGCTGGTAAGCTGAGTGGAGAAAGTTGCTAGGTGGTTGTATGCTGTCTTGATTTTTTTATAGCTATACTTACCACATAGCACAGCGTTTGGCATGTAGTGAGATCTCAATAGAGGTTTTCTCATGCATTCATTTCACTTGTTCTTTCATGGTAACGTAAGGGACCCATAGCTGTGTGGGGAGGTACTGATGATTTGGACACAGTGCTTCAGGGGGCCACTTCACTCATTGGGAAAGGCATCTGAATGTCAGTGCCCAGAAGGAACAGAAAGTCAGGGACATTTATCTGAGCAGAAGGGATTTTGCTGTACCTTTTTTTTTTTTTTGGAGGCAATTGGGGTTAAGTGACTTACTCAGGGTCACATAGCTAGGAAATGTCTGAGACCAGATTTGGAGTGAGGTCCTCCTGACCTCAGAGCTGGTGCTGTATCCACTGGGCCACATAGCTTCCCCTAAATAGAAGAGTTTTATAAGAGCTGGGAAGAAAAGAATGTAGCCCCTGGGACCTGGCATGGACAGCAGAAACAGAAATGGCACCAAGGCAGTGATAAGATATATAGAATCCCCCTCAGGAGAGCATGTATGCATTGCAGCAACTGACAGCCCAATGCCTACTGCTCTTGTCCACTTGGTGGACAGGGAGCCTCAGTGTGACTCCAGCAGTCTTTTGCCCATGTACCCTGACGGACCAACAGGAAGTCTCTCTCAAGGACAAAGGAAGGAAGGGGAAGAAAACCCAATTCTGGATGCCAGCTGGGCTTTTCCTGGCATGCCCAGATCTAAATTAGAGATGCCTATCAGGTCTTCCTGACTCCAAGACAGTGCTCTGTATACTGTACCACTACAATTTAAGGATTTCTCAGATTATATAGTCTTCTTACCCCTTCATGATTAGTGAGAGTTAAAGATTTATTAACTACAGATCTATTTCAAGATAAGCTCATTATTTAAAAAAATCATTACATCCCAGATCTCCCATTTCACTCCCTGTATGACACTGAGTAAGTCACTCAACCTCTTTGGGTCTCAGTTTTCTCACCTGTAAATGAGGGGGACAGACTATAAGATTCCTTCCCACTCAATCTATGACCTGTGAAAGAGGAATGGATATATAGTAAAACAAATAATCCTAGCTAATAGACCAGGAATATAATTATCAGTCTAATGGGGAAGAGACCTATTAGCTATCATTTCAGGTTTCTAGAGATCCTGAACAGAGATGTAATATAGCTAGACACACCTATTCTCATAAAGTGTCTTTAAGGGTGTAATATTGGTTATCTCCCTTTTTTTTTTCCTATCCCACCCCCCATTTATTCTATTGTCTCCTTTGACCCTGTCCCTCCTCAGAAGTGTTTGCTTCTGATTACTCCCTCCCCCAATATTATTCTCCCTCTTATCTTCTTCCCTTCTATTTTTCTATAGGGTAAGATAGATTTCCATACCCAATTGAGTGTATGTTATTCCCTCTTTAAGCCAAATCCAATGAGAGTAAAATTCACTCATTCTCTCTCATTTCCCCCCTCTTCCCCTCCACTCTAAAAGCTTTTTCTTGCCTCTTTTATGTGAGATAATTTACCCCATTCTAGCTCTCCCTTTCTCCTTTTCCCAGGACAATCCTTGTTCACCTCTTAATTTTATTTTTTAGATGTCATGCCTTCATATTCAACTCTCCCTGTGCCCTTTGTATACATATATACATATATATATATATATGTATGTATGTATGTATGTATGTATATTCCCTCCAACTACCTTAATACTGAGAAAGCTCTCATGAGTTGCAAATATCATCTTTCCATGCAAGAATTTAAACAATTCAACTTTAATATGTCCCTTATGATTTTTCTTTCCTGTTTACTTTTTTTTTCTGGTGAGGTAATTGGGGTTAAGTTACTTGCCCAGAGTCACACAGCCAGTGAATGATATGTGTCTGAGGCCAGATTTGAACTCAAGTCCTTCTGACTCCAGGGCTAGTGCTCTATCCATTGTACCACCTAGCTGCCCCTTCCTGTTGACCTTATCATGTTTGTGTCTGCATTTGAAAGTCAAATTTTCTATTCAGCTCTGGTCTTTTCATCAAGAATACTTTAAAGCCCTCTGTTTCACTGTATGTCCATTTTTTCTCCTGAAGGATTATACTGTTTTGCTGGGTAGGTGATTCTTGGTTTTAATCCTAGCTTCTTTGACTTCTGGAATATCATATTACAAGCCCTCCAATCCCTTAATGTAGATGCTGCTAAATCTTGTGTTAGCCTGATTGTGTTTCCACAATACTTGAATTGTTTCTTTTTGGCTTCTTGCAATATTTTCTCCTTGACCTGGGAACTCCAGAATCGGGTTATAATATTCCTAGGAGTTTTCTTTTTGGGATCTCTTTCAGGAGGTGATTGGTGGATTCTTTCAATTTTTATTTTACCCTCTGGTTCTAGAATATGTTTTCCTTGATAATTTTTTTAAAGGCAATTGGGGTTAAGTGACTTGCCTAGGGTCACACAGATAGTAAGTGTCAAGTGTTTGGTCTGAGGCCAGATTTGAACTCAGGTCCTCCTGACTTCAGGGCCTGTGTTCTATTCACTGTGCCACCTAGCTGTGATAATTTCTTAAAAGATGATGGTTAGAGTCTTTCTTTCTTTCTTTCTTTCTTTCTTTCTTTCTTTCTTTCTTTCTTTCTTTCTTTCTTTTTTTTTGATCATGGCTTTCAGGTAATCCAATAATTTTAAAATTATCTTTCCTGGATCTATTTTCTACATAAAATTTTCCACATAAATTTTTTCCAATTTCTGTTTTCCATATAAAATTTTTCCAATGAGATTTTTCACATGGTCTTCTACTTTTTTATTCTTTTGGTTTTGTTTTATAATTTCTTGATTTCTCACAGAGTCATTAGCTTCCATTTACTCCATTCTAATTTTTACAGAATTATTTTCTTCAGTGAGCTTTTGGACCTCCTTTTCCATTTGGCCAAGTCTGCTTTCCAAGGCATTCTTCTCCTCATTGGCTTTTTGGACCTATTTTGCCATTTGGTTTAGTCAATTTTTTAAGGCGTTACTTTCTTCAGTATTTTTTGGGGTCTCCTTTAGCAAGCTTTTGACTTGTTTTTCATGATTTTCTTGTATCACTCTCATTTCTCTTCCCAATTTTTCCTCTACTTCTCTTACTTGGCTTTCAAAATCCTTTTTGAGCTCTTCCATGGCGTTAGACCAATTCATATTTTTCTTGAGGGCTTTGGATGTAGGAGTTTTGACTTTGTTGTCTCCTTCTGGTTGCATGCCTTGATCTTCCTTGTCATCAAAGTAAGATTCTATAGTCTGAGTTTTTCCCTTGGTTTGCTCATCTTCCCGGCCAGTCACTTGACTTTTTAACTCCTTGTTTAGGTAGGGCTCTGCTTCCAGTGTGGAGGGTGTACTGTCCCATGCTTCAGGGGTTTTGTGCAGCTGTTTTCAGTTCTTCCAAGGTGGTATGATCTAAGGAGAGGTATTTACTCTTCTCCTGGCCTGTGCACTGATCTGT